CTTTCGCTTTTTTGTCACTCGTCCATCTGTTATTATCCACTAAAAGCAAAATTTACATCAATTGCTTACACAAGCGTTTAGTAATCTCAACTTTTGCTCGGCTCCATTATTTTTAATTGGCATTACCCTCTACGTGAAAACAATGTTGAGTGTCACACGTACTGCAACAGCAGGAACAGGAATGTACGAGAAACTGTACTGTGTAAAACACCTTGCCTCACCATTACTAGTAAAGAAAAAAACTGACGGTTTGTAATCTTGGAGAGTAACTCATGGGGGTTCAACTGGAGACCGTGCATGGGGAGAAGGTCCTCTTCGCTGAAATGGCACAAAATAGAGTGACCTCCATATCCAGAGGTTCAATAGTGTGGTGAACCTCCAGTGGGACTGGCAAAGGAGAAGACACTTCTAAGTGTTTAAGTGTCCTAATTTATCTGTTTTTTAGTTGTTTCCGTTCTTTCTCCGTCAGATATTAAGTTCTCTTCACAGGTTCCGAGCGAAGGACTTTTTCAATCAACTATTCAATCATCATCCAGAACGTTTATCCTTAACGCTGTACGTGGTTCTATGCAATAAACAACAAGTTTATTGAACCTCTGGATATAGAGGCCACGGTCTCCAGTTGAACCCCCATGAGTTACTCTCCAAGATTACAAACCATCAGTATTTCCTTTAAGATAATGATGAGGCAAGGTGTCCATAAAGTTCCATGCTTCGTTATTCCTCACCATACCGTTTAGTGCATTCCATAAAGGGAAGAAGTCAGATCTGCTTGAACTTGTTCATTCTTTTCTTTTCTTTTTTTTGCAGTCTTTTGTGAATGACCATTCTTTTGAAATTGCATCATCGTGTTGATATTTCTTTTATTTATATATTCATGTAAATACACCAGGTTTCCCAGGTTCAAACTGTTTAGGTTCTGTTATTTTTAAAACTTTAGTAAATTTCTATCTACCCAAACGATCTAAGATCCAAAAAGCTAATAAAGATTTATTGTACATCTAAGTTACTTAGAAATACTCAATTTTTATATGGAGACCGCCATCTGGATGTATTCAATATTCTATGATACTGGATATATACAAGTTTAGTTTACTATGTGTGCAGAAATTACATTTTACATATATAAATTTCATAATGCATAATGCACATCGAAATATGTCGTCACCATCGCGCTTTAACCAGCCAAATGACTCTATGCCCTATGTCCCAACCTCTCCAATTGCTTAATTCTATTGAGCGTAATCGATTGATATAACAATGGACTAGTCCAAATTTACCAACGCATATAACAACGGAAGGCACTTAAAACATTGTTCAAAATTAACTTCAGTACCAGACACAAATGACAAGTACTCAGTGTGTTTGCCAGCAGTCACTTAAGGACGATAGCCATTTTTACCTTGGGTTCACGATCCGCCGGTGACGGTTTACCTAAACTCCGTGCATTGCCTGTTAGTGCTATGTAGTTCATTGCGATGCCTACAAACAGTGAATGGAGCTTGCGTGAGTTGGAAGTAGTAGTCACAGTTTTTTATTGCTGAAAACCGGACAGGCAAGTTTGTATCCGGACTGGTAATATTTCTCATACAAAAAGAAAACGACGAGGTGTGCATTCAATATCACATTAATTTAATTCGATACAAATTGAGCATAAAAACATGGTGTCATTAACACAAGTAAATGCAGTACAATACAGGAACCTGGTTATATACAGTTATACAATACATTGTTAACTTTTCCTGTATCGAAGCAAACATCTGGTTTTTTAAATTCAAAAGAGTTTTTTTTAAATGTCTAGAATAACGTATATGTTAGAGTTGACAATTTGTAACAACAGAACACGTAGCCTTCAGAGAAAGAACATATCTATCATGTTATGGACATAAGAGATTCTTCTGTTCCGGGGATTATTACGTCATGTAGTACCGTTATGTAACAGTACCGAGTGAGTTGTCGACGTGAAAGCTCTGGTGAGATCGTTACACAGTTGAACGCCGTAAATTATGCGGATCCCGTAGATGGAGGGAAGGAGGGAGTATGGTTTTACGTCGCTTTTAGCAATATTCCCACGGCGGGGGACACCAGAAATAGGCTTCACACATTGTACTCCCGTGGGGAATCGGACCCGGGTCATCGGCGTGACGAGCCGGCGCTTTAACCACTAGGCTACCCCACCGTCGACCGTAGATGTCGGGAAGGGTTGTGCATACTCTGCGATCGAAAGGAAGTCGGTTATCATTTTCAGACGCTGGTTTGTCTGAATTAATTTGAATTATTATATTATTTTATGTACGTGATAAAGCTGGACTTGTGTTGTGATCTTAAACAACATTCTCAACATGTTCATGTTGGACCGAAGGGTGCAGTTCGACATAAAATAATGTAATTTGTAATATTGAAGATTAACGAATCAGGCAAGAGGGTGACTTTTATGCTGCTGTTAGTGAAAGATACTCCAGCAACATCACGGTAGGCCACACCATAGATGGGCGTCACTCACACGCCCAATGTCGGGCACCGTTAGAAGGTAGTGAGTGAGTGAGTACGTTTCTACGTCGCTCTGACAATATTCTAGCAACATCGCCACAAATATGCTTCACACATTGTACGCATACGTGGATTGATTCAACCCCGGAATTCAGCGGGACGAACGAACGCATCAACTACTAGGCTACTTTATTTCTCAGGGACGCTGTAGAGTGATGGTAGAGCTTCAACTGTCGTAAGCCTATGTTCTAGTACTGGAGTTTGAGAGCGTGTTAGCTTTATGGGGCGGTTGGGTAGCCTAATGGTTAAAGTGTTCGCTCGTCACGCCGATGACCCGGGTTCGATTCCCCGCATGGTTGCAATGTGTGTAAAGCCCATTTGTGGTGTCCCCCGCAGTGATATTGCTGGAATATTGCTAAAATCGGCGTAAAACCATACTCACTCACCGTTATGATCGCTGTGTGGAAAGGCCTTGATGTTGCAAACCTTCTGTTCTAATGAACCGTCCTGGTCCATTAATCGCTTAATGATTCTTTATACTGAGGTGTACAAATATCAACCAATGATACTTTGAATCCAACATTTTCATTAACGTATCGATAGGTTAATCCATTCCACCATAATTTCCCCACAATTCCTTTCATGAAACAATCACTTTCTTCTTTGTGGCGTCAGCGCACTGACTTCCGGTAATAACAATTCTTTTGACACGAAAGTTTGGTAAGTCGTAATTGCCAAACGTTTAACTCGTTTAAGAGGTTTTAATGCCAAATACGAATTATAATTAATGGTACACCTGTACTGTATCAAGGAGTGAAGCTTGTTCGGTCTATTGACTGGTGGTACCACAAACCTTATGTCCAGGTAATACACAGATGCTGTCATTATTAGTTCCATGCACCGGAACCGTATGACACATGGAAGTCGGTTAATATACTGAGAGAAACAAATAAGGGAACACCACTTCATGGCAGTGTTTCTTTATTTATTCCCAGATTTCCTCCCAAAGCTGGTGACGAAAACTGGAAATAGTAAAGGAACAGTTACAGCTTCCTGTGTTCCTTTATTTGTTTCTCTCAGTATACATCATTAATCTCTGGAACAGCTGGGATTTCCGGCCTGACCGAACTGTCTGTACATACCGAAGGACATATAAAGAGAACAAAACTCTAGCTGTCTTGACGTCCCTCGGGTACCCTGAAGATGACGGACCCTCGGGTACCCTGAAGATGACGGACCCTCGGGTACCCTGAAGATGAGCGCTGGACAATGCGATGACACCATAAGCTAACCCTCGGGTACCCTGAAGATGACGGACGAGCGCTGGACAATGCGATGACACCATAAGCTAACATTTGTCATTTGTATCAAGTACTCAAACGGGTACAAAACATCAACGAAACAATACTGGAATGTATTTGTCTATGTTGATAACAGGATTCAATACTGCACCCTGGAAAGAAGCTATGGCTTCTCAAGCTTACCCTACACATTCTGGCTGTAACGATGCATCGAACTATCGATAGATTGCAATAGTTGGTCGCAGTAGTATGTTTCAATAGTTGTTTCCCCCTCAGTAGTCACCCCTATTAAACATGTATATGATTTGAACGCCTGGATTGATGTTCAGATGTATTTATAAATGAGTGTTATGTTATGAATACATGGAGGTTCATGGCAAGATGGGTGATCATAACGGAACTCATCCGCAGATTGACAGCAGATGAAGAGAAAACGACACCAACTGTGAGACCAAACTCAGCATCACATCTGGGTCCCGATCCACAAAACGTTCGTATCGCTACGACATTCTTAAGCCTATTGTTAACTGTAGACTTACGAACGCTCTGTGGCGCCTTCATGCTATGATTAAATAGATCCAAATCTTTCGAGACGTTAGACGCCGTCGTTCAGATGAAATAAGATACAGATGTTGATACAAGAGACGTCCTAACACTAAAGAATCCGTTCTTTTCACGTTGCTTTGTACAGTATTTGAATTTCAGGTGTCAGCTCAAAGGGAGGTAATTCCAATGTTACACAAGTCTTTCACAAAGTTCACCTGACAGAAATAACATCTAACTAAATGTTTGGAACCGGAAGCATGTGTCCCGATCCACAAAGAGTACGTAACGTTACGACCTGTCGTAACTCTATACTTTCACAGGCTTACGAATATCGTAGAGCTACGAACGCTTCGTGGATCGGGACCATGGTCTGTTGTGGCTTTGAACAATATGACGATAATATCACGGCGTGTTATCTTGTGGGAGGAAAGTCCGAAGTAATGCAGGTCTTACACGTTTACCACTTGGAAACCCACTGGTGCTGACAAACCTCCAACCGCAAACATACTGAATCTGGGATTCGAACCCACGATAACAGGTTGATAACTGACGCACCACCGAAAAGGCCAACCGTGGGGCCTTGGACTATTGGATCAACCGTGGCAAGTGTTCTTTTAATATACGAACATTTTATTCAAGTTACCTGTCATAGCCCTGATTTTAGGGTTTCAGACAGTTTTAGTTCATCTTATAATGAAACATGTAATTACAGCCAAACGTGTGTTTCACATGTCTAGCAATGAGACTGCACTTCCTTTTGTTATTCTCTCCTAACAGGATGCACAATCAGTTACTAAAAACAAACGCCTTGGTCTTATTTACTCATAATCTTAAACCTATGGGTATTATGCGTTCGTCCCATTCGTCCTGTCCCCAGCCATCAAGGGGGCGCCACTCTCGTTTACAATGTTCTTCTTGCCGAAGGTAGTCAGTTCTTGTCTGGGAGGGTCTTCTTCATCCGGGGTATTCCACACAGACTCGTCCTCGAACAGATGATGCGCCTTCAACTGACCCAGGCCCGGCACGCAGCGGACAATTAGACCTGAAAATAATAGTGATTGAGTGAGTGAGTGAGTGAGTAAGTTTTTTAGCCGCTTTTAGCAATATTCCAGCAACATTACGTTGGGGACACCAGAAATGGGCTTCACTCATTGTACGCTTGAGGGACTTGAACCCGAGTGAATGTTTTAACCACTGGGCTACCCCACCGCGTACTTTTGGTATAGTATATTTATAGACTGTCGTCTCACAGCTTTTGTGGTTGGCGTTAAACATACATACAATCCACGGATGACGCAATGACATTCATTCCAGTGAGTGGGTGGTTGGGAGGGAGGGAGCAATATTCCGGCAGAGGACACCAGTCAATCTTTATTCCGGTACTCAAAAGGCCTCGGGCCTATATACATTTACTTTATACACGTTCAAGGATCAATACGCTTTCTATGTACAAATGCGTAGAAGATATACATGGACAGGTTTTCAATTTCTTTAGTATTTGAACTGCTTAGCAGTTGTGAAAACTTGAGCCTGTTTGGATGGACATAATATTTTTCTCTTATATATATGCTTCGAAGATTACTGTAGTTACTGTAGGGCACACGAGAAGAAAAATGATACTCGTCTTTCAATTACATTTGAATTACCTAATTGACAAGTTCTGCGTTCTCTGTTCATAATTTTATATCCACCTTTCTCAATCAAAAAGTCATCAGATGAGCATCGGAATCATGTTAAACTTACTCTATACCTTTTTACATTTCAACATGACAGATAGAATTCGGTATGGATATTGTTTGCAAATATTAGGTAAGTGTCACATTTGCTTGAAATAGATAATTTTTGTTGCCAGTTTTGAAAATACATATCTTTTAATCTTTGAGTAAATGATTTGATGAATTCCGGATATGTTCCAATTTCTTGGTTATGCCAAATATCTCCAAATCCAGTAGAAAATAATAATTGTTTTACATTAGAGGACACCAGAAAAGGGTTTCATTGTACCCAAGTAGAAAACCGGGTAATTTCGGCCTGACCAGAGTACGCTTTGACCATTGGGCCACCACCCTACCTCCTCATTCCTATTAACTGATAATTTCAATTACACGTTTCAACAACACGATATAAACAACGTGCTTCCCCTACCTGTGATGAGACCTCCGACAACGGCGACGACGAGAGTGACAGCGAGGGCAAGCACCTGATAGCCCGCCTGCTCCCCTGCCGACCTGCCCAGTCCGGGGGTGACATCCACGTTCCGATGGATCTCGGCGAACTCGGTCGTGTTGGCGAGCGGCACTCGTGCGGGAAACTGTTCGTATAGGCTGAAACACAAATATTGTCTTCTTGATATTGACATGCTCGTATTAACTGTACCTTTTTTATGTTGCCACACTAGAGGTAAGTGAGTGAGTTTAGTTTTACGCCGCACTCAGCTATATTCCAGCTACATGGCGGCAGTCTGTAAATAATCGAGTCTGGACCAGACAGTCCAGTGATCAAAACCATGAGCATCGATGTAATTTGGACACGATGACATGTGTCAACCAAAACAGCGAGTCTGACCACCTGATCCCGTTAGTCGCCTCTTACGACAAGCTTGGGTTAATGAAGATCAATTCTAACCCGGATATTCACGGGTTGCCATGATAGAGGACCTGGCTGTGTAGAAAACAAAGCTCCATGTTCCGAACAGTGGAGACAGGTCTCGCAGCTCAATCCACCCACCATATGTTGTAAGACTCAAGTCCACAGACAACATCCATAATGTTATATTGGTTTAAATCCCTTTGTCATGTACTGAAAATAAGAAACAGACCAACCAAGTTATGTTACCAAATTGCATAACATTTTACTTGAGCTAGATGTCTTCTCAACAGTGTCTAATATTACTTATAAATGAAAAGATAGCGCTCAGCCTGTATCCAAATCGGCCATCAACACACAAGAAACGAAATTGAAAGACTGCCTCAGTTATAATCAATATTTTGGGACCCATTATATTAGATTTCATACATGAAAAGATATCATCAAAGTAGCGCTCAGTCTGCGTCCAAGCCGTTCTCCCACGCCCAAGAAACGAAATTAGAAAAGTTTATATGGTTCGTCGAGTCTAGACTACCTATAATCAATATTCGGGGACCTATTATTTCATATTTTATCACTGAATAGATATTATCAAAGTGGCTCCACCTGTATTTAAATCGGCCTCCCACGCGCAAGAAAGGAAACTAAAATACATAAAATCTAAAATCAAGTTAGACGATTTGTCAAGTCAAGACAATCTCAGTTATAATAATTATACTGGGACCCATTATATCATATCTTATAAATGATTAAAGATATCATCGAAGTCGGTCTCGCACACGCAAGTATCGGAATTGTTGAAACATAAAGCCCGGGCTGGTTAAAGCGTTTTGGCGATATCGTCTCTTCAAACACTGAAGTCCATCTGTGGGTCCACAACTCTTTAATCGATGTCTACATATGCAATTACATGATAGTGCAGCAACGGCCAGGCAGCATCACAGAGGCGATCGTCAGACCACCTGCCTAGCCGCTGTCCGAGGGTCAAGTCCCGTGACATTAAGAATTCATTGTCTATATACTACTGACTGTCAGGCTGCCCTGTATCGTATTGCGATACATGTATGGTCAACCTGCAGTATCCAGCATGCACCTCATCCACAATGTTAAACTTCCGTGGCCAACCGGCCATACTCTAAAGTTAATTAGGGTTAATTACACGCAGGCAGCTGATCTGTACATGGCTGTGCTGATGGTCATGATATAAGCTGCTGATATTTCATTTATATTGTCAGCACTGTGATTTAGATAACACAACTTTAACTTAACTCAGAGAATATACAGACATGTCTATATTCCCTGATGAACCCATACCCCATCAAAGTGCCTACGATACATATAACACGATAGCTGTGTTACTGGTGTCAATGTCGATGTACCTGTATCCGTATTTGTCGAAGTCGGCGACGAGGGCAGCGATGGCGCCGGCAATTCCGGCCATTATGGCGGGCATGCCGTGCAGGTTGTTGACTCCGCACGTGTCATGAATTTTCAGCTTAGATGTAAGGAACGGCTGAAATAGCAGTAACAGGGCAAAGATTAAATGGCCGAGTGAGTGAGTGAGTGAGTGAGTACAGTTTGTTTGCTTGTTCGTTTGTTGTTTTACGCCGAACTCAGCAATATTCCAGCTATATGGTGGCGGTCTGTAAGTAATCGGGTCTGGACCAGACAATCCGGTGATGAACAATGTGAGCATCGATCTACGCAATTTGGATACGATGACATGTGTCAACCAAGTCAGCGTGCCTGACCACCCGATCCCGTCAATCGCCTAGTACGACAAGCATGGGTTGCTGAAGACGAATTCTAACCCGGATCTTCACAAGTGAGTGGCAAGCAAAAATCATATACATTGAAACGTTTTCAGTTAAACATTGACAGTATTACAATTACATATTACTCATTTAAAAATTGTATGGGCAAATATGTGAACTATACACAAAGAGCGTAATTAAGCACCACCTGTATGTTTGCAATGATAGTTTCAACACGTACATGAAACTTCCTGTGGTGACGACGATGGAAAAACATGAGCTTTTCTGATCCTTTGACTCATAAAATACGACAAAATGATTGGAATCCATGTTGATCATAATTGCTCATTTGAAAAACACACACAATGATTTTCATACAAAACCATGTCTGTACAAGCATGGCCCTGGAATGTTTAATATTGAGTGTTTTGGTGAATGTGAACATTCAAAATGTCATTTTGCGTGTCTTACACGATTCAAGGTCAATACAGAGTGTAACCTCCATGTGACTGTATGACAGCCAGCACTCTCCTCCTCATACCCCCTGTCAGCCTCTTATCATCTGAAGGGACAGTCTACGCCATTCCTCGTGTAAAGCAGCTTCCAATTGGGCCAGGTTCTGTACAGGAGGGTCCCTTTGCTGCACACGACGACCAATCATGTCCCAGATATGTTCCAAAGGGTTAAGATCGGGGCTCATGCAATCGTGAGTGCTTAACTAAGTTCTTTGCGTATATATTTGAAGTATGAGTATGAATTATCATTTATAATATAGACCGACCTATTGTATATATTGCATAATCCTTTCACGATGTTGAATAGATATTTTTGCTGATATAAAGTGAATTCATTTGCAGTTTATTTCTTTTCTTACTATTGTTGTCGTACCGTGATGTACTTGTATCCGACTGTGGACAGCATCCCAGCGACGGAACCGATGATGAGGGCTCCGTAAGGTCCAATCATCATATCTGCACTTGTTCCCACGGCCACGCCCCCCGCCAGCGTGGCGTTCTGTATGTGTACCTAGGGTTTGGGGAGAGGTGACAGTGGTGGAAGTATGGAAGCCTTTCTGGGACGACTGTAAGTTTGGTGTGACGTGGAATTATAGGCACGCCCCTTTCAACTGGACAGTACATTGCATATGAAGCATGACAATTCATTCACACTTGTTCACGCTTATTTCCACTCCTCCACTTACGTTGTAGTGACCACATAGGAAATACTACAAATAACTGCGTGTCACTCACCATGATATTGATGGAATATTGCTGAAAGAGGCGTAAAAGCTGTCTCACTCACTCACTCTACAGATACATTCCCTCGTTTCTTCGGAGACCCGGGTTCAATACCCCACTTGGGTATAATGTGTGAAGCCCATGTCTCACTCACTCACTCACTCTTGCTTGCACCTGCATCCTGTTTCACCAAGCGAATGTAGCGCTACGACTGTCGTAAGTCTATCATAAACTCTAGGAGTAAAGACAGTCATAATGTTACAGTCGCTTTGTTAAACGGGCCCCACACCTATCTGCTAGGAAAAATACATCGTCACTCACTCACTCACTCACACACTCACTGGGACGGGGTGCAGTGTGCGAGATGTTTCATAATATTTTAGGTCTCATGTGTAATAATGTCTTAACTTACGTCATCTAAACTATTTGCTTTTCGATGAATATTTGTTTAAAATGTACAGTAAAATTTCTTATGTGATTCTGGTGTAGTTGTATGCATGTCGTTTTATAAACCGTCCCAAAATATATTCAATGTAACTCATTATATGTCCATTTTATGTATTTATTTTTTTTCATCTGCTTGGTCATATCCGTGAATAATTTTGAAGTAACAGGCATGTTGGACATTGCTTAAAGTTTACAGTGAAACTTGTTTGTGGTAAGAGGAGACTAACGGGATCGGGTGGTCAGACTCGCTGACTTGGTTGACACATGTCATCGCATCCCAGTTCTGCAGATCGATGCTCATCTTGTTGATCACTGGATTGTCTGGTCCGCACTCGATATTTACACACCGCCGCCATATAGCTGGAATATTGCTGAGTGCGGCGTTAAACAACAAACCAACCAATTAAAAGTGATTCTGTCAAAAACAACAACCTATTTCCATTTCATTTTTGTTGTTTTTTCTTCTTGTCGATGGGTGGTCAAATCCTCAACAGAATAATAAAATAGATTTTCCAAGACAGATAGATACGTACCATGTCCAGCTTGCCCCTCTTGTCCACCAGCACGGAGATGGCGAAGGTGACGACGCAGCAGGAGGCGAGGGCGAAGTAGGTGTTGAGCACGGCGCGGTGTTGGTCGTCGTCCGGTGCGAGAGCGCTGTTGAAACTGGGCCAGAACAACCACAAGAAGATCGTACCTAGTCACAGAGTAGAGGTCTTAGACGACAAATTCGCATAATATGTATTGGCTAATTATCTTGGAAGCGAATCAACCTTTCGAGACTAATCTCGACATGTTCTTACAGCTAATGGGGCGGTGGGGTAGCCAAGTGGTTAAAGCGTTCGCTCGTCACGCCGAAGACGCGGGTTTGATTCCCCACATGGGTACAATGTGTGAAGCCCATTTCTGGTGTTCCCTCCGGTGATATTGCTGGAATGTTGCTAAAAGCGGCGTAAAACCATTACTCACTCACTCTTACAGCTAAACGTTTTTAAAGAAAGTAATCAACCCGTTTTACATTGCTAGCCCACTGGGGCAGTTGCCTAGGTAACGCAGAATAACACTGTATGCTGGCTCGAAGTCGACTAAATGCCTAGCGCCAGGCTAGGTAACAACAAGTACCATGTTAAACGTCTTTCTGTATGAGAAACCAGTGAAAGAACCATCTACCCTACCCTCTCGAGAAAGACACGCTGTCCACTACACCATTGAAGAGTCGAACTATGTGTCATGCTGTAACAAACCTGAAAAGCCAGGGGTATCGGGAAATTTGGGGCAATTTTGATCCGGACTCAGTGGCCCTTTTCACCACAAGAAATGCACCATTTAGCGATTAAAATCTATTCACCACCCCCTATGTGCTTGGTTCGAATCCCACCTTCGTCCTGATTAGCATTTCTGGTTTATGACATTCAAGCTGAGCCATGGCTTAGAGTCCCATGTTTATCTTTAACGAGTCATTGGTCGTTTTAAGAACAAAGCTGCAATTTTAACTTACGAACAGTGGATCCAAACACAACTAAGGGAGGAAACTCTGCATAGCGAATTACGGCAGGTGTTCAGCCAGTGATATCTAAGCACAACAGGGCCGCCCACCGACACAAAAACTTACTAGTTAGAGTCCTAGAAAGGAGATAGTCCCGTTGTTGCATTGTCGCACTTTGGTTATTTTTGCCACTTTTTGCTTGCTTTTGTGAGGGCGACAACGCGACAATGTCCCTTCTAGGATTCCATTCAGAGCGGTTGACTATGATCATATTCCACTTGGGTGTGAGTGAGTGAGTTTAGTTTTACGCCATTTTCAGCAATATTTCAGGAATACCACGACCGGGGACACCAGAAATGGGCTTCACACAGTGTGCCCATGTGGGGAATCGAACCCGTTTTTTCCGCGAGACGAGCGAACGCTTTAACCACTAGGCTACCCCACCACTTGGAACTGTATTCCAGTTACATCTCAGACTGCTTAATGTGGGTGGATACAGATGTTAAACATTCGCGTGCGCTTCCGTGCACATAAAAAAACAAGAACGTGCCAAAAAACAACTTACACGTACGATCAGGGAGGATCGTAATGAGCAGAGATTCTGCTCTACCCAAGGATCCAACCTTCTCAAACCCACCTCCGGCGCCATTAACGGCTGAGCAACAGGTGCCCCCAAGAACAAGCAGATCCAGGCACAGCTAAAGGGGTGAAACTCTGCACAGCAAACAGCTGCGCCTCATACGACCGAGCCGTCGGTGCCGTCTTACGACTTCTACTACTGAGGGACCGTTCATAATCTATGGCTTGGCAGGGGCGGATACAGCTTTTTGAGGAGGGGGTGGGCGGGGTTTGCACACTCTTGAGAAAGGGGGGCATGCACACTTCACGTACAGTTTCAATGGTCATTTAATAAACATTCAGGGGAAAAAAAGGGGTATACGTAGGGGTGTGGAATGTGATGTTGATTTTAAGTGTGGTCAGCAATTTTGTACACATGCACTGGGGGATGTCAGCAATTTAGTACACATGCACTGGGGGATGTCAGCAATTTAGTACACATGCACTGGGGGATGTCAGCAATTTAGTACATATAAATAATAACAAATATGCTTAACAAGTATGGGAGGGGGGCATTTTTAAGGGGATGGGGGGGCGTTCACATTGAATGTACTTCTCCATAAATAGTACCACCCCCAACACACACACACACACACACACACACACACAAACAAACACACACACACACACACACACACACACACAAAAGATGTAACTTATGAACCTGGAGAACCCTGTTGAGTATGATCATATTCCACTTGGGTGTGAGTGAGTGAGTTTAGTTTTACGCCACTTTCAGCAATATTTCAGGAATTCCACCACCGGGGACACCAGAAATGGGCTTCACACAGTGTGCCCATGTTGGGAATCGAACCCGTGTATGATGATTATTTTCAGACGTAACTTATGAACGGTACCTGGAGAACCCTGTAAGAGCGACACCTATGCCAATGAGAATGATAGAAAACCTACCAATCATAGAGAAGAGATCCGAGTGATACACCGATCCTTCTTTCGTTGATTTTTCGACGTCTTCAGAGTACAAGACCCGGGCAATGGTCAGACCGAAGTACGCACCAAAGGCGTGGACAAACATAGACCCGCCCACATCCACCGCCTGGAACAGCAAAAGGAGGTTCGTCATAACAGAACATATGAAGTCATATTCATGGCTTCATGGGAGACAACCCTTGATTACATGCAGGTCTAGTGACACAACTTCAGTATTATCTGCGGTAGAAAACTGCATTCAGTCAACCCTAGATACAAAGTTCAGGACGTGTCACATTTTCGTTGCGTTTGGAGTAGCAGGTCGTAAAACTAGGTACAGCATGTTTACATTTAATCTCAGACCTTACCGTAAAGTGGAATACAATTTAGAATTCCTTTCAAAGCTCAGATGGACTTTCAGCTAATTTTAAAATGTCTGTTTGCTTGACACTAACACAAAGTGGAGAGCGCAGACAGATGCGCCACTGCTATTAACAAACTAGGTACTTTGTTTCAATCAAATAATATCTTCATCGTATGTAGCTGTAAAGAAATTATTTGAATGAATTGCGATGAATGCAGTATTGGTATCTAAAGTGTTGTTAGTATTACAGTTTCGCATACTGTATGACCATTTTGTACGGCCTCGATAAAACGTAATCTTGCATTGGTCGGTATAACAACACAACAGATTTTCCGCTTTCTGTCTGTTTTTTGTTTGAGTATATGTATGCGGTAGCGCTGATTATCGCTCACAATAAGCAGAAGATCGATAATCGGAGCTCAGTAATCGATGAATGAAAATGAAAAATATAAAAATGAAAAAAGGATCAATAATCGATTGTAATCCTTAACCGCACAGCAAAACTCATGAGAGCAATTACATGTACAGGACACAATCATAACACTGTGCAAACGAAACAGGCACTGATCATACCACGACCAAGACGATCGAGCATACTTCCTGTTGAGATACGAATACGAGTATGTTGTTTAGGCTATTTATAACAAAATTCTTGTTTCTCATTAAATCCCGGCCAAACAATTCGACCCGACCTTACTGGGTTTTTCACACTAGAAAAACTGCAACATGTGCATGAATTTTTCACACTTTTAAGTTTTGATTTTCTATCGGAGAACAGGTGTAAATTTCCATATAAATCAAGGGGTTTTGGACATAAAATATAATGTAAAAATAAATAAGCCCGCCCGACCTATATTTTTTTATAACGTGATGAGAAACAAGAATATTTTTTTATGTGGCCTTACATGGCAGTTTTACGAGTCAGGGTCCCGATCCACAAAACGTTCGTAGAGTTACGACAGGTCGTAGTGTACCGAACGCGTAGTGGCTTTGGATCCAAGAAACTGCATCAGTTGTTTATGGCTTGATTCAACAAACATAACAATAAGAAACATACTTTATACAGTTGAATTTGATGTTTCATATTTTTATGAATATCGATTATTTGAGGAATGGCTCCAGCACTAGTCCGCAGATTACTTCAAGGTTAAAACACAAATAATCTGGCCCAACTCACCCTGAAGTACGTAACGCCAACCCATTCGTTGGCGGAAAAGAATACGATCTCAATGACGGCAATGAGCACCAGCTGCAGCGGACTCGTCTTCCCCAACAACGCACCGAAGGAGATGAGGACGGCGGCTGCAGCAAAGTCGGCAGTCAGCATCCTGAAAAAAAGAAGTGGTTGTTATGGTTACAAGTCTTCCCTGTAAGCCCTCACTATTGTTGTCTGTCCTGTGCTTAGACTCACGATTTATTTCTTGTTTTAATAAAATTGCTAAAACTTTCATTTAAGTCTTGTTTTGTTGTCACGGATATGGATAAGGTTGCAGCATCTTATCACAGAGGTTGGATGGAATTAGGTTGAGGTTAGGTCGAGTTTAGTCTGTCTCACAGTCCCTGAACCATATTATTTTCCCCAATGCTTAGCCCTCCCTGCAGTGCTAAAGCCCTAAATGAAGCAAGTCTAGATTTCCTAAGGTTCTGAATCTCTGGTCTCCCTAGGGCTCCTTTTCAATATAAATGGGCTTGTTTGTTACTATCAAAATTATATATATTCAGAGACTAAGCCTTAGTCTAGGTCGAGTTATATATATATATTTATTCACCATTCATATTCTGATAGTAAAGTATCAAATTACTAGTAAGTAGAAATACAGGAAGGTGCAGGGCTCATTTTATGGTAATTCTTACGGTAGTGTATGTAATATTTGCCGTACAGTCAGTACTATTACAGATGGCTGTTATGTTTACCGTATACCGTGTTTATTAATATTTGCCGTACAGTCAGTACTATTACAGATGGCTGTTATGTTTACCGTATACCGTGTTTATTAATATTTGCCGTACAGTCAGTACTATTACAGATGGCTGTTATGTTTACCGTATACCGTGTTTATTAATATTTGCCGTACAGTCAGTACTATTACAGATTGCTGTTATGTTTACCGTATACCGTGTTTATTAATGTTTGCCGTACAGTCAGTACTATTACAGATTGCTGTTATGTTTACCGTATACCGTGTTTATTAATGTTTGCCGTACAGTCAGTACTATTACAGATTGCTGTTATGTTTACCGTATACCGTGTTTATTAATATTTGCCGTACAGTCAGTACTATTACAGATGGCTGTTATGTTTACCGTATACCGTGTTTATTAATATTTGCCGTACAGTCAGTACTATTACAGATTGCTGTTATGTTTACCGTATACCGTGTTTATTAATATTTGCCGTACAGTCAATACTATTACAGATGGCTGTTATGTTTACCGTATACCGTGTTTATTAATGTTTGGCATGTTAATTGTTTGGCAGCCCAGCTGCCAGTAGTTTACTGTAAAAAATACAGGAAAGTTTTACAGTGTTTGACAAGACTTGTAATTTGATTTTATTGACTGTCTATTGTTCAACGCTGTACTCAGCAAGATTCCGGCTTTTAACTGCGATCTGTAAATAATCGAGTCTGGATGAGACAAACCAGTAACTGATATCCTAAGCATCGATCTACGCAAATGGGAGACATGTGTCAACTAAGTCAGCGAGCCTGACTACCCAATCCCTTCAGTGGCCTCTTACAGCAAGCATGGGTTGGTTACTGAAGGATTCCTTCCCGGATCCTCAAGGGAAGAAAGGCATTTAGAAGTTGGTAGAACATGAGCACATCTTTTATAGCAAGGAACTTTTGTATTCTTTGAATCGATTTTTATGGGCTGCTGATCCTTTATAAAGTAGACTTGAAACTTCGTCACTACTTCGTGGCATAGACGTTTTTAGCCATTAATATGTCTATGTCTTCAGGGGCGGTTGGATAGCCTAATGGTTAAAGCGTTCGCTCTTCACGCCGAAGACCCGGGTTCGATTCCCCACATGGGTACAATTTGTCCATTTCTGGTGTACCCCCGCTGTGATATTGCTGGAATATTGCTAAAAGCGGCGTAAAACTAAATTCACGCACTTTGTCTTCAGGTCCATATATACACAAATCTCCAAGCTGCATTTATTAATGAGTTTCACCGGCCAACGTCAAGAGTGTTAGGGGCGGACTGCTATGACATTCTAAATCATCCTATCTGCCGCAGGCAAGTATGCAACGCAACAGAGCGAGACGCAAGGACATCAATAGAAGCGTACGTAAAATTTAAGTTTCGCCATTACTTTAATATAATGTGTCGATGGCTATTACCGCACCATCTGATTTGTATTACGAGTGTAACTATTCTCGACAGCGCGACCCTGCGACCCATCAACACATGTCATCGTATCCAACTACGGTCACTAACTCCGATCGATGCTCATTACGCTGTCCGGGTTAGTCACTGGATTGTAATCTGGCCAAGACTCAATTATTTACAGACCGCCGCCATATAGCTGGAATATTGCTGAGGTCGGCGTTAACAAATTATTTACAAACATAAGCAAACAAACAAACAAACAAACAACATTACATTCTTACATCGATCCGCCATGATATGATCACAGAAAAACATACCATGAAGGCTATTTCTATATATAATTGATTGACTGATTAAGTTTAGTTTTACGCCGTTCTTAGCAATATTCCAGCAATATCACGGCGGGGACACCAGAAATGGGCTTCACACATTGTACCCATGTGTGGAATCGAACCCGGGTCTTCGGCGAGACGAGCGAACGCTTTAACCACTACACTCTATCCTACCGCCCTTTCTCGATATAAGGACAAATTACATAGAAAGTGCTACATCAGAATGGAAAGTAACAATGCACACGGGGAAGCTTGTTCAACACGACTGGAAAAACACCGCTTCAACCACTGACTAACTGACGAGTGAGTGAGTGAGTTTAGTTTTACGCCGCTATTAGCAATATTCCTGAAATATCACGGCGGGCAATCAATTCGGACGATATAAACATCGATTTTATATAATGTCTGACTGATAAAACTATCATCAAATCATTACTGAATTACCGAATAGTGGAATTAAAATATTAAATAAAACCTGAATAAAATATTTGGAAAATATCCATGTGAAACTTGAAATTTGTTGTCTTTCTTTAGCCTCGAACTGACTTCTAATACAAGTGTTTGACGTGATCTCACCCGAGGCAAGACGTGATGTCAGTAATGAAACCTTTTCATATTGCCTGGCAAGTCCACGTGAACTAAAAGGGCGTTCATGGTCAATGTATGTAAGAATGTTTTCAAATTGTCCTGCAAAACTGCCAAGTCTTATTTGCGCCCAAACACCATTTGCCTTGACCGACAAATGTGCTCTGTATTGCTGTGTGGCTGGTCTTGACTATCCCTCTCTACTTTAACGAAAACTGACACTGAAGACCATTTAGATCTGGATCATGTTTACGATATCCCGTGCTTCGTGCTTTGAGAGGTTCTGTTACCTGAGTGATTGGTTAAGCAGGGTTTTGTTTGTTTGTTTGCCTTGCTACAGCAATACTCCAGGTTTAAGACGGCCGCAGCTATAAGTCACCCAGTTTGGGCCCGACAAACCAGAGTCTTGAAAAAAGAATTCGGTCACTTGACGTAATGTCCATAGACTTACATGTTAATTTAGTGTAGCATAAATATTTTTCTTGAATTAAATTTTCGTAAGATCCAAGTCATGTTTTGCACATTTGTGAGGAATCATCTTACCTACAACAACATAGTTTCTGTTTAATTTTCCGTTACTTATTTATCGAATGGCAACAATTTAATCAACATATGTACAGAGCCTTGAACTCCTTTAACATGGCGGCCTATGGGATTGTGCATTGTGGAAATATACGTAAGTTGATAAATGTGATGTCATTAGTTTAATAGTGGTCGGAGAATTGAACTGAAATTATGTGCGCAGAGCAGAGATGATTTCAAATTTGCCTGTCAAATTTGACAAAGATCTATCCTAAACTCACCTCATGAAGATTATTTATGCTACACTGAAATAACATGTAAGTCTATGGAAATGACGTCAAGTGTCGGAATACTTTTTGAACGACTCTGTATATATAGCAGATACATGATGCGCAACGCGTCATGTCGTGTAGTAACAGAGAACGAGCCAAGTGACCGACCCTGACCACCAAGCCACTTTTTCGTTTTTGTTTGTTTTATTTGTTGTTTAACGCCGCACTCATTAATATTCAGCTATATGGCGGCGGTCTGTAAATAATTGAGTCTGGACCAGACGATCCAGTGATCAACAGCATGAGCATCGATCTACGCAATTGGGATACGATGACATGTGTGAACCAAGCAGAGCTACAGATAAATTTTGGGGTCATTGAGTTATGTACTCGCTTGTGTTCATCTCAATTGGGTATCCTAATATTCCTCCACCTCACTCAAACTCAATTGGGTATTTTGCCATTTTCCATTAACTGTAAAAATATACTCAAGATTAAATGTTGGTTTACGTGTTTGTTATTTATATTTGATTTGCAATATGAGAAACTTTAGAAAGACAGCAAGTTACCAAGTTAATGTGTTGAAATAGAACCTCTCAATATACCTGTTATTTTATCTATCCGCCCGTACGCAAGCTAAGATTTGACATTTTTGTATGCACGCATGTAAGATCAAATTTATTGAGTATTTACAAAACCTCAAGCGTACTTGTACGCAATAGACGTAATAGGAATTGAGTTTTCACATAAATATTTGCGTATTTTACGCAGATGCGCAGCTTATCTGTACCTCAGACCAAGTCAGCGAGCCTGACCACCCGATAAAGTTCATGAGACTAATTCTAAACCGGATTTGCTGGTTTTAACAGTACTGAGATGTTTGACAAAACTGCGTTGCAATATACTAGTACATGATTTTAATGTTAATTCGTATAGATACTCCCAAAACTATGAAACTGCGTTTTGTAGTTCCTGTGTGACTGAACTAGAAGTTGAATTCCACATTACATCAGTATGTCCTCTGTACAGTGAGTATCGTGTTAGATATTTACCTGAATACTGTCGTAATTACCCTAATGTTCAAATGTTACTTAAACTGATGAGAACAAGTGATAAGAATAGACTCCTAAGATTTTTTATCTTTCTTAAAAAAGAGTTTGTACTTTGATCAAAACAAAAAGTCTCTATGAACACATAAGCATAAATTCATTGAACTAATAAGATCAATATTTTCAGTGTGGCACATATACATGTTTTGTCTAATTGTTTTACACATGCTGTACTGTTGGACTCGTGGCCATCTGTACGAAATAAATGATGATGATGAAATCCGCTTAGAGTTTCAAATGCTCCAGATATGAACCTGACGCATATATCAAACATGCAGGTTCGTTTCGATTCAGTTTTAGCGACAGAGTGTGACCCCTGGAAGTTATTGGAGACGTGGTGTCTGTGTGTGACTGTGTTGCACAAACAACATATGTTTTACCTCACGGACATGTATGTTTCTGTCTTGTTTAACGCCGCACTGAACAATATTCCAGCCATATGATGGCGGTCTGTAAATAATCGTGTCTGCACCAGACAATCCAGTGATCAACATCATGAGCATCGATCTACACAATTGGGATACGATGACATGTGTCAACCAAGTCAGCGAGCCTGACCACCCGATCCCGTTAGTCGCCTTTTACGACAAGCATGGGTTACTGAAGATCAATTGTAACCCGGATCTTCACGGGTCCCGTGTGTTTACAACCGATACGATGACATGTGTCGACCAAATCAGCGAGCCTGGCCACTCAATCCCTTTTGTCACCTCTGCATTCAGCGTTGGTTGCTGAAAGCCAATTCTATCCCTGATCTTCACGGGATCTCAGTGTCATGTGTGAGGGAGCATACTCCTCTTTACGTTTTATTGCCCATTGTGGTTACGTTAGATCAAAATACCACAATGAAGGTATGTTTCAAACAATGAAATGAATAATGTATTTTGGCCCTGCTTAATAATGTTACCGTTACTGAGTTCAAGCAATGTTTATACATTATTTCGCAACAATGAGTTCATTGTGGATGCAAAACACATCGTGTTAATACGGTACACTTTGGACATATTCTTTGATAAAGCATCATAACACCACAGTACATGTTGAGGTATATTCTGTGACAGATCTAATAACACACCAGTGCATTACATCTTGAAGTATACTGTCTGGTATAGCATCACGTCACTGTGGTACATATAGAAGTTATCAATGGTAAATATATTGCCGATGCTGTACATTCTGAGTATATTCTGTTGTAGCACATTACGTACCTGCGGATCATACTGAAGTATTATGTGGTATAGCATCAGGTCAATGAATACATATTCAGGAATACTGTCTGGTATAGCATCCCGTCAGTGGTACATATCGAAGTTATTCACTGGTAAATAACATTCCAATGCTGTTCATTCCGAGTATATTCTGTTGTAGCACATTACGTACCTGCGGATCATACTGAAGTATATTATGTGGAATAGCATCAGGTCAATGAATACATATTCAAGAATACTGTCTGGTATAGCACCCCGTCACTGTGATACATATCGAAGCTATTCACTGGTTAATACAATTCCAATGCTGTTCATTCCGAGTATATTCTATTGAAGCACATTACGTACCTGCGGATCATACTGAAGTATATTATGTGGTATAGCATCATAACACCGCGGTACATATTGAAGTAGGTTAAATTTGATGACATTCACACAATAACAAATAGTATCCCATAGTTATGGATCACATTCAGACATATGTTTTGCTACAGTAATGCGCCATTACGACACATTTTGAATAATGTCTTTGACATTACGGAACCGGAACTGGAACGTGTGGAATCCCATTCCTCAGTACAGCATGGTGCCAGTAGGTTTACAGCTGATAACATTAAAACAATAACAAACAGTATCATACCGTTATAGGTCGGGCATATTGAGTCACATGTCATGGTATAACATTCAAACAATAACAAACAGTATCGTACCGTTATAGGTCGGTCATATTGAGTCACATGTCATGGTATAACATTCAAACAATAACAAACAGTATCATACCGTTATAGGTCGGTCATATTGAGTCGCATGTCATGGTATAACATTCAAACAATAACAAACAGTATCATACCGTTATAGGTCGGGCATATTGAGTCACATGTCATGGTATAACATTCAAACAATAACAAACAGTATCGTACCGTTATAGGTCGGGCATATTGAGTCACATGTCATGGTATAACATTCAAACAATAACAAACAGTATCGTACCGTTATAGGTCGGTCATATTGAGTCACATGTCATGGTATAACATTCAAACAATAACAAACAGTATCGTACCGTTATAGGTCGGGCATATTGAGTCACATGTCATGGTATAACATTCAAACAATAACAAACAGTATCATACCGTTATAGGTCGGTCATATTGAGTCACATTTCATGGTATAACATTCAAACAATAACAAACAGTATCATACCGTTATAGGTCGGTCATATTGAGTCACATGTCATGGTATAACATTCAAACAATAACAAACAGTATCGTACCGTTATAGGTCGGGCATATTGAGTCGCATGTCATGGTATAACATTCAAACAATAACAAACAGTATCGTACCGTTATAGGTCGGTCATATTGATTCACATGTCATGGTATATCATTTAAACAATAACAAACAGTATCGTACCGTTATAGGTCGGTCATATTGAGTCACATGTCATGGTATAACATTCAAACAATAACAAACAGTATCGTACCGTTATAGGTCGGGCATATTGAGTCACATGTCATGGTATAACATTCAAACAATAACAAACAGTATCGTACCGTTATAGTTATAGGTCGGGCATATTGAGTCACATGTCATGGTATAACATTTAAACAATAACAAACAGTATCGTACCGTTATAGGTCGGTCATATTGAGTCACATGTCATGGTATAACATTCAAACAATAACAAACAGTATCGTACCGTTATAGGTCGGTCATATTGAGTCACATGTCATGGTATAACATTCAAACAATAACAAACAGTATCGTACCGTTATAGGTCGGGCATATTGAGTCACATGTCATGGTATAACATTCAAACAATAACAAACAGTATCGTACCGTTATAGGTCGGGCATATTGAGTCACATGTCATGGTATAACATTCAAACAATAACAAACAGTATCATACCGTTATAGGTCGGTCATATTGAGTCACATGTCATGGGGTAACATTACTCCATTTATATTTATATTCCCTGGTGTACCTTAAGGATCGTGCACCTGGATGGGAATGTTATGACATTAACAACAAACAATATCACGAAATTATGGATCATATCAAGTCACGTTTCCAAGTATTTGAGTAAAGCAGCCCGAAGCACGGTGGCATAAAGAAACAAACTGCGGATTATTTCTTGGCACAATGCCTGGCCGTTAGGGTATATTTTAAACCTTATTCTCTTGTCTAGTACCGTGTCATCAGGTACGAATCTAATGCCATTCACTTTGATAACATCACGACATTTAGGCATATTTATGCTTTAATACTAAAATATTTATACCGTTCAAGGACACACACAATGTCAAGGTCGGTAAAGTCAGCAATGTAGGTCACAGATCACATGATACTGTATTTGAATAATGTATCAGTCTGTCAGACATAGAACCAGTTAGGTGAACTGTCACCGTAAATCTCATTACTTTATGTGGCAGGTCATAGCGAGGGATTAATCAACCAAAGGCGAGCGATCAACTTGAAGGTTTGAGTTTCATTTGCGCTTTTGCCTCAGTGTGAAGCCCATGTCACGGACCTATCGTTGTCTGGTCAATCATCTAGCGTCATGGAATTCTGGCAAACAGATGAGGATGGTATGTGTCTCGTATTGCTCAAGTGGGTTGCACCTTATGGTCAGCGAGTGAGTGAGTTTGGGTTTTTCGCCGCTTTGGGCAATATTCTAGCAATATCACGGCGGGGGACACCAGAAATGGGCTTGTGTGGAATCGAACCTAGGTCTTCAGCGTGACTGGCGGACGCTTTAACCATTAGGCTACCCCACCGCCCCAGCCTTATGGTCAATGGCACGACTGAAGTCAACCATGTAGAACAAGGAAACTATATGTAGACAGCTACGTTGACAGTTTCAGCAAGTATGTTTGTAGTTTGTTGTTTATCGCCGCGCTTACCAATATTCCAGCTATATGGCGTCGGTCTGTAAATACTCGAGTCTGGACCAGACAATCCAGTGATTATCATCATGAGAAGCGATCTACGCAATTGGGATACGATGACATGTATCATCCAAGTCAGCTAGCTATCAGTGCTAATGTAGAAATTCTACCAACGAGCAGCGGTTTCTGGTACAGCCATGGGAGGTAACTCCATCGGCAGGCTGATAATCATAGTGAGCGAAGGACTGGCTGAGTATGGTTTTACGCCGTCTTTAGCAATATTCCAGCAATATCACGGCGGGGGACACCAGAAATGGGCTTCACAAGTTGTACCCATGTGGGGAATCGAACCCGGGCCTTCGGCGTGACGAGCGAACGCTTCAACCACTAGGCTACCCCACCTCCCCAGTGAGTGAAGGAGGTTTTGTAGCATTATTCCAGCAATATGTGGGCTTAAATACTGTATCCATGATGGAATCGAACATGGGTCTTCCGAGTGACGACAAAAGCTTTAACCACTAGGCCACCGTCCCAACACGGAGAATACCTTAACGAATGCTTCAAACGGCGCCCAGCACTATCCGCTCGCACACTTTGTACATTGACAGGAGACATAAATCCTGCTCACAAGCTTAAGTACCTTTGTTTGATTCTCTAACGTCATAATGTTTGTCAAACATTCCTCAAAGGGGTTATAACTGTCAAAAACAATTGTACTGAAGACCTTTATCCAATGTCCTCAAATACTCCACTGTCGGGTTGAGTTTCATTTCAATACCGAGTTACGAGCTTGTGTCACGCACGGGCCAAATCGAGCCGGATGTCAGGGTTTAACCTCTGACTCTCTGAGTGACCACTGACACTGCAGCACTCGTGAGGACTGCAAACAGCCTTCGCGGCTCGAGGGCCTTTCCACAAAGCGGTCGTAGGTTTAAGCCCTGTTAAAGTATTGGATCATCTTATCTCATGTCATGTAAGCCTAGATTAAAGTATTGCAGTTACGATTCTCTTAGATCATCGTAGCCCACGTCATGTAAGTCTACGTTAAAGTATTGCAGCTATGATTCTCTTAGATCATCGTAGCCTGCGTCATGTAAGTCTACGTTAAAGTAAGTCTACGTTAAAGTATTGGAGCTACGATTCTCTTAGATCATCGTAGCCCACGTCATGTAAGTCTACGTTAAAGTATTGCAGCTATGATTCTGTTAGATCATCGTAGCCAACGTCATGTAAGTCTACGTTAAAGTATTGGAGCTACGGTCCTCTTAGAACACCGTAGCCCACGTCATATAAGTCTTTGTTAAAGTATTGGTGCTACGGTCCTCTTAGATCACCGAAGCCCACGTCATGTAAGTCTACGTTAAAGTATTGGTGCTACGGTCCTCTTAGATCACCGTAGCCCACGTCATGTAAGTCTTTGTTAAAGTATTGCAGCTACGATTCTCTTAGATCATCGTAGCCCACGTCATGTAAGTCTACGTTAAAGTATTGCAGCTATGATTCTGTTAGATCATCGTAGCCAACGTCATGTAAGTCTACGTTAAAGTATTGGAGCTACGGTCCTCTTAGAACACCGTAGCCCACGTCATGTAAGTCTACGTTAAAGTATTGCAGCTATGATTCTGTTAGATCATCGTAGCCTACGTCATGTAAGTCTACGTTAAAGTATTGGAGCTACGGTCCTCTTAGATCACCGTAGCCCACGTCATAAGTCTTTGTTAAAGTATTGGTGCTACGGTCCTCTTAGATCACCGAAGCCCACGTCATGTAAGTCTATGTTAAAGTATTGGTGCTACGGTCCTCTTAGCTCACCGTAGCCCACGTCATGTAAGCCTATGTTAAAGTATTGGAGCTACGATCCTCTTATATCATCGTAGCCTAAGCCTATGTCAGCTACGATCATCTACGACTGTCGTAAGCCTATGTTACAGTTTATAAAGCTACGACAGTCACAGCACTGCGAAGTCTGTGTTATAGTACGGGAGTTACGATCACCGTGCCTTTGCGAATGTCGTATGTCTTGTTACTACAGACCCGTGAAGGTCCGGGTTAGAATATCGATCTTCAGTAACCCATGCTTGTCGTAAGAGGCGACTAACGGGATCGGGTGGTCAGGCTCGCTGACGTGGTTGACACATGTCATCGGTTCCCAATTGCGCAGATCGATGTTCATGCTGTTGATCACTTGATTGTCTGGTCCAGACTCGATTAATTACAGACCGCCGCCATATAGCTGGAATATTGCTGTGTGCGGCGTTAAACTAAACTCACTCACTCACTGTTACTACAGGTCTACGCTTTAACCATTAAGATACTTCACCGCCCCATAAAAACGTTAATCTTGACATACAATGGAGCATAGAAGTGCATGTCTTGGTTATTCTTCATTACAGACGCATTAAAGGAAGGTGGTGTCACTTAATACTATGCAAATATACTGTATGCACACCTTTAGTCAGGGTTACGTTTACTT